CGAACCCGCCACCTTAGGTGTACGTGGCTGGCGCCTTAGCCGGTTGAGCTATAGGCGCTGAGCCGATGGCGATTCTTCTACCTGATGCCTGTTCTCTTCCTGATAATACATTCAGCCTTGGACTCATCAACAGCATGAAGCCAGCATTTCTTCCTTTCTCAGAGAAACGTGAAGTGTACCTGTCGGGGGGACGTCAGGTTTTCTACACAGAGAAGATGCTGAGTCTTAAGTGGATGAGGGGAACTTGCAGCAAAACATACATGGACACAGATGGGCCACATCCAGTAAGGCTGCTTCTGCAGTCTGACTTCCTCCTGAATCTCTTGACTCCAATGCTACTTTGCAGGTGACTGCCTGTGCAGGTGGGGTCCAGGGCTATGGGCCCAGAGACATGTGCACAGTCTGGCAGTGCACGCATCTTGTCCTGTGGGACCTGCTTATGGATGTAAATTCTGGATGGCTGCTAGGAAGCTGGGGGAGAAGGTGGGCAAGGGGGCAGAGTGGGTACCTTTACGTGTACCCGAATCTTCTTCTTTTGAGAGAAGCTGGAACCACTGGCCTTGCAGTTCTCTGTCCCGGGGGCAGTACTCCCCTTCTACAGCAGGGGGAGCCAGAAACACACCACAGCATCAAGAATCCCGCAGAGAAAAAGGGAATGGAGGGGAGGGAAAAGAATAAAAGAAGAGTTATCTTCTGCTGCAGGGCAATAATGTCCTGCCACTGCCTACACAGGCACGGAAGGCCACTGCCCAAAAGGCCTACTAAGGGCTAGGAACACAGGCTCTCATCCGGGAACTTTCAGAGTTTGGCCAAATGTGTTGGTGTGTGTTTCTCTAGTTAAAGCCCATTTCCTACAAGTTTGGTCTTGAAGTTAGGTCCAAGTCCAGAAAATGAAGTCTGCAGGAAAGAAAGCTGGGCTAAACTCTCCTGAAAAGGAAACAAGCTTGGACCCTGAGCTGTGTCAGGACTATAAGCACTAAGCATTAATCATCACCTGAAGATAATGAGGTCTAGAATGATGCAAACAAAATACCTTTCCCCTGGACAGCTGTGACTCACTCTGACTAGTATGGGTGCAGAAGCTACTCTGGGTCTGCCATGATCTGCAGAGATGGGAGTGTGGTGAAGGAATTCGAGGTTTCTGCACAGGCCCTGGGCCTGCCTCCCACTCACACAGACCTTACTCATTTCTCATAAACAGACTGAGCAGGAAGGGGCAGGCTGCCCACTGCCACCTTGTGGGTCCTGCCCCAGCCTTCCTCTGCCTGCAGGAGAATAAGAAGATCAGCTCCTTAGGGACCCATGGAAGTGCTCTGGCCCTAACCATTCTCAGTGACACAAAAGGGTCAGCAGGAGGGTGTGTTTCCTTGACTAATCTGCCTCATCTGGGCCAGTGTCCCAGAGCGGCACAGTTCTCCGGTGACCAGCCCAGGAACGTGAGCCCCCTTCAGGGAGGGGCTTGGGCCTTGCTGTGCCAGAGTAAACAGACCCTGGGATGGGACTGGGCAGTGAGCACACCAAATTCCAGGAAAAGCAGAGATAAGCACAAGAGCAGTGGAGTCGTCGATGCCAGTTCCACAGAGCCTGGGGCTGTCCAGGATGTAATCTGCTTTTCTGACGAGCTAAGAGGCTCTGGTGCTCAGAAATTAAAAGCTGTGTCCTTCTTGTTCAGTTCAAGCCAATCCCTCAGGGGAATCAGGTCTTCACCTATCCTGTTCCTTCGTCATCACCCACCAGACTTCTGCATGACCAGAACAGGGAAAGAATGACCCTCTCTTTACGCAGACAAGAGGAGGAGGCCCCATGAGTCCTTCCTCATCATTCGAGGTAACAAGAGCCGGAGATAGGGTCAGAAATGAAAAACTTAAAAGAGTCCAAGTTAAGAGAATATTTCAGAACCAGAGTGACTGGATATTGAGACTATGACACTCCTTTCCAGGACACTGGCTCAAAGTGTTGCTCTGGGTGTCACTGACTAAACCCTGACCAGTGGCCACCTAAGCATAGCAGCCTTCAACATCCAAAACTAGGAACCAGGGAATCCTCTAGAAAGCTAAATTCCCTTTCTTTGTTAAGATAAACTTCTTTAAAACAAAAGGGAAAAGAGAGAAAATGAGAAGACAAGAATGAGTGACCTGATTCAGAGGGAGCCCTTAGACTGGCCCTCTGCCTTCCACATCCAATTGCTAATGGTGGTATGCACAGGGGACACCATTCCCATTGTCAATGATCAGACACCATCGTCCTCTCCTGTGCCCCCATATCCTGAGTCTGGAGGGAGTATCCCTGGGCTCTAGGAGGCACGTCTGTGTAATTAACGTCAGCCTCAGAAACCTCATACACGCACACACGGATCACTGGGGGGAAGGGGTCAAGGTTGAGAAGAGACTTTTTTCCTGACCTTCACTGGACTCTTCCTCCTCCTCGTCATATTCTTCCTCCTCTTCTTCTTCATACTCCTCTTCCTCCTCCTCTTCGTTCCCAAGCCCAAAGCTCTTGGAGGCCTCAAGCTCCTCTTCGCTCTTCCCTTTCAGAAGAGCATGGATCCTCACAGCCTCCTTCCAAGGGACGCCACCCAGATCAGAGGGAGGCAGCTGTGGCTCCTCCTCCTCTTCCTCCTCCTCCTCCTCCTCCATGTCAGACTCGGAACTGCTGTGAGTAAATAACCATGCAAGCAGAGTGAGGGAACGGCAAGAACCAAGAAGGGTAAAGTTACGTGTCCCAGGCAAAGTACCTGATGAGCAGGAGGAGGAAGCACCCTTCCCTGACCAAGGGGGGCCAAGGGAAGGGGAAGAGTGACTATCAGGGTGGGACAAGAGACACTCATCCCTATAAACACCTACACAGCCAACGTGGGGGACAGCCTTGCCTAGGGCAGGGAGCGCTTCCATCCAGCGAACACCAAGATCACTGGGCTAAGTTTCACAAAGGCATGGTAGGGACAGAGAATGGGGAATTGAGAATGGAGAGAAAGTCTTCTTTCACCTTGATGAATGGAGAACCTGTGGCACTGGGGCCACATGTGATCTTCTGGATCCTTGAGTGTGGCCTTTTGACAGAATCCAAATTTTATAGAACAAATACTTTTAATAAAGGGGACAGAGAAGAGGGCATCAGGTTCCACTTCCTGATGCTCCTCCACACCCCACGATGGGCCAGGCCCCGAGCTGGGAACACACAGGAAGGTGGTGGCAAAGGTACTGCCCAGTGCCAAGGTACGGGAAAGAATACAAGAACAGCTCCGGGGTCATCCCTCCTGCCACACTGTCCACGCTGCCCTCTCAGCTAAGGCAGGACGCGGCACCCAGCGAGAACACACTTGCTATGACTCACACAAGCCCAGACCACGGCTCTTCAGTCCCTAGGACACCCTCCTGTAGCATTTATGTCCTACTCCCTGCCCTGCAGAGAGTTCTGTGAACAAAACTGAGTCTGCTGCAAGCGCCAATACAGTGCCACTGCACAAGTGGACAAGTTTCTCAGACCTTTCTCATGGTCTGATAATTCCCACAGAGTCACTTTCAGAAGAGGATGTGTCCTCAGCAGGAAGCGTATATAGGGCTGGGCTGGGGGAATCTGGCTTTCACAATAGCCTCCACAATCCCCAGAAGCATCAGGTGCACTGGTGGGGTCCTCTCTCTGCCAGGGCAGGGTTGCTCACTGCCTACTGTGTGTGACAGGGTAGCCAGGTGGATACAGTGATGAGGACCACGGCATCCATAATGAGTGTTCTCTGGTGAAGAATTGTGCTTTGCCCAAAGAGAACCTGGCCTTTGCCCTTGGCTCAGGCGCTAAATCTGTGGCCTGTCCTGCCTGAGGGTGCTATCATTGTTTGCCTGGGGGTCCTGGGTCATGGTGGACAGTCTAAAATATAATTTAGGGAGAGGGCATGGGGTCACACAGTTCTGGCTGACCTGGAGATTGAGATCAACCACATGGACTATTGGCCAACCAACCAGTCATTGGCTACACAATAAAAACTATGAACACTGAACCTCAGGGGATTGGTACTCCTTATATAATGTCACACAGGGATGCCAAGAAAGTTATGCTATCCTGCTCCCATGGGGAGGGGCAATGGAAGCTGCAAGTCTGCTACTTTCCTGGACTCTAACACATTTCTTTCCTTGACTGATTTAAATCTGTATCCTTTTGCCGTAATAAACTATAACCGCTTTCTGAGTCCTTTTAGCAAATTATCAAACCTGAGGGTGATTCCAGGAAACTCTGGCACTTGCAGTTGGTGTCAGAAGTTGGGCAGTCTTGCTGGCTACACTCCCTTTTCTCACCAGCTCCTCTGCTTACTCGTGGTGGGACTCTTGAGTTGGCTACTTATGCTCTCAGAGCCTCAGTTTCGTCATCCGTAAGGAGGTAACGTCACCTGCCTCGCAGGCATGTTGTCAAGAATAGGGATTACTGATGTTCATCATGCATGTATTACACTCTGGGATTTGTTTCATTTGATTTGTTTACTCATTTACTTATTCATTCACTTGTTGATTTATTCATTGAACATTTCTGAGCACCTACTAAAGCTCAGCTAGTGGACACACAAATAAAAAGAGCTGGCTCCTCGGCGGTGCCAGTGGTTCAGTGGGAAGGGTGCCGGCCCCATATACTGAGTGTGGCGGGTTCGAACCTGACCACGGCCAGTTAAAACAGCAATGACAACAACAACAACAACAACAACAAAGCCAGGTGTCCTGGTGGGAGCCTATAATCCCAGCTACTCAGGAGGCTGAGGCAAGAGAATCGCTTAAGCCCAAGAGCTGGAGGTTGCTGTGAGCTGTGACACCACGGCACTCTACCGAGCATGACAAAGTGAGACCCTGTCTCATCCAAAAAAAAAAAAGAGCCAGCTCCTTACCCAAGCTCAGTTTAGTGATTCTGCTTCACTCATTCATTCACCCAACTAAAACTTCCAGAGTGTCTTCTACTTACAGTGTAGTCGCTGAACACTGCAGGGAATACAAATGTAACACAGACAAAGATCCTTCTTCAAGGGAGATAAGATGCACATGTATCATGACAAAGGAAAGTGGGATACAACCGTGCTGCGGGAGAGGGCCGAAGGACGCAGTCACAAGTATGTATGTGAATGCCAGAGTGCGGACCTGGAAAGTTTGGCATCTGGGCTTTGATTCCTCCTCAGTATTTCTTTTATTGACATTACTTTTGCCTTACCTTTCTGTTTTCATTAAATTACTTTCCTTATTAATAACATGTAACCTACTGTGGGTCATTTAACACTGTCCAAACATGAAACAGGATAAGGATATGTCTATGGTCATCTTAAATCTTTAGTGGGCAAGGTGAAGGACATCTTTTCCCTTCCTTCTGGCTGAGTGCCTAGGGCCTGAGCAGGGCTACCCAGCAGTCAGCAGTCGGATGGACTGTAATCAGCTCACCGAGGGGCCCTCGGTGCTGGCCTGTCCTGCTCTGCACCACATCATGAGGATGGTTGCACTTGCACAACGTGGGCATGAATAAATGCCCTGTGATGAGGACAACGAGGCCCCACTTATAGCTATTAGTGCCACCTCGGCTAGTTTTATGACAGCTCAAGGACTATGAGAGTGCAGTCAGGGTGGCCTGGAGCACAGAGAAGGGTGCGGAAGGCTAGCCCTCGCCTCTTTTCACAAGCTGCAACTCAGCAACCACCAGAGGCCCTGCTACTTGCTTCTAGAGGTCCCGGACAGGCAAACTGGCATCCCTCTCTTCATGAAGGACAGAGAGAAATCCGGCTGGTGTGGCCAACTGTGCCTTTTCAGGCTGTCATTTTCACAGTATCTCAGGGCAGTCTCTGAATCTGGCCAGGCCCCGTGTGTCACACAAGATTCATGGTGGAAAGTCAGTCTCTCAGGCTCCCAACACCTGCACCCCCTTGGACTCTAGCCTGGAATCTTCGTAAGCACAAAGAATCACTATACCAGAAAAAAATGCCATACAGACAACCAATTTCTCCCTCTTTCTAGGAGAAAAGGGTAACTTCTCAAAATACTACCTCCAAGGAGAGATGGGGGCCAGTAAATCTCATCATTAGACCACCCTACTCTCCCAGTAGGCATCTGTTTTGGTCCAGTAACAATCTACTGTCCTGTGTGATTTCTGATCCAGGTCTGCCTCCCCTCAGACTATACCCTCTCTGAGGATAAGGTCACTGTTGTGCCCAGCACAGCTAAGATGGCAAGAGTGTACAAGGAGCCACAAACACTGAGAGCCATGGCAGGTTCCCCTGATTTCAGAGGCACCCTCGCATCCTCCTGGGTAAAGCCTCCACCAGAAGGACTTGACCCTTCCAGTTAGGAGAATATATCTAAGCAAAACCCTCCCTGCCTCAAGTTAGACCCAATTACTCATCTAAAGCACCTTCCCTGAATTTCCCCTCAGGTGTCCTCTCACTGAGTTACTTCTGTAGCATCAAGATGGGCAAATCCAAGGGCAATGATAACAGTGATGACAGTCACAGAGCCCTGACCACCTGCTGTGCAGAACCTCCCTGTGGGGTAGCCCTAAGCACACAACTACTCTAAGGCATAGCTGCCATTGTTTTCCCATGCTTAGCACACTGGGCTGAGTTCGAACCCGCCATCCTAGGTGTATGTGGCCGGTGCCCTTGCCGACAGAGCTATGGGCGCTGCCCAGTTTTCCCCATTCTTATAAAGGAGGAAACTGATGCCAAGGAGGCTGGATCGTTTGCATGAGAAGTCCACATCTGTCCTACTGTACTCTCCTGGGTGTTTCCCCAAGAACCCAAGAGCTCTGTGGCCACTAGCAGCCTTCAGGGTTGCAAGTCCAGAATAAAGGCTGCGCTCAAGCTCTTAGCTGCAGGGATCCAACCTGAAGTAGGAGACCAGGAATTCGGGTAGGCCCTACTAAGCATGGGGCAGGCTGCACATGGAATGCCACTTCAAGTTCCTGGGTGGTTTTCCAAGGAAAATGGATATTAACCCACTCACAATCAGAGAGACCCTGTGCAGTCATGGCCTAGATTCCATCTCCCTGACAACTGTGTTTACTCCACTGCAGAAATTTACTCCGGCCTAAAACCAGGGCCCTGCTCAGCAACACCTCTTGTTACTTCCTCTGTTGGAAAAGGGTGAGGCAGGAGGAAGAAGGCTGGTAGGAATCCCCCTATCCTCACAGCCAGCCTGCCATCAACTTCAGGGGAGTCCTCTATGACCCTAGCTGCCCTACCCAGAAAACACGCCTGTTTGCTCTGGCCCTCCTGACTTGCCTTTAGAGCCACAAATCTGTAAACACCAGGGGCACTGCACAAGCCCCTTCACTGCATGGGGCAAATTCTCATGGCTAAGGAATCAGGGCAAAACCATACTGCAGCCATAAAACCAGTGCTGCCTCATCTCTGGCCACCTGGTCTTTCTACAGAAAAAGGAAGTGCTATTTCCAGGGTCTCCTCCAGAAGACCCACCTTGCCTGCAAAGAAGAGTCCCAGAGCTGATTAGGCTTGTGGTAAGGTTGAGGACTTAATGGGTTCTAGTGTGAACTAAACCATGGATTTGATTATGAGACTCCCCTAGGCTTCCACCCTAAATCCACTGAATTAGACACCCCACAGGAGGCTCAGGAGTTACTCTTTAACCAAGTATTCCATATCCCAGGTACTGTTTATCATCATGGAAATTCAAAAAAATTAGAGCAATAGTTATCAAAGTATGGTCTTTGGATCACAGCAGAAATGAAAATTCTGGGGCTTTACCCCAGACGGGCTGCATCAGAGGCTCAGCCCAACAATCTGTGCCCTCAGGGTGACTCTGACACAGGGCAAACCTGTCACCAACGCCCTTAGACAGAGTGAGTTTGAGCCAAACCCAACTCTGGCACTTAACGCACCTATTGAGGAGACCTGTACAAGATTCTCCAGCCCCACCACTCCCAATGAGGGAGGCCGTGCTGTGCCGAGAGCTGCAAGGTAGCTGGTACTTGCCAGGTGCCAGGCACTGTATCCCTTGCTTTATGTGACTTAATGCTCATAAGAAACCTATGAGGTTCCTTTGTAGATGAGGAAACTGAGGCACAGAGTGCTAAGTAACTTGACTACAGCTCACAAGTATTAGAGTTGGGCTTGAAATCCAGGTCTGCTTAAATCCAAAGTCATGTTCTCAAACTTCACAAGACACACCACCTCTCACCGCAGAAACCTAAGTAAAGAGTTCTCTAAACTCATGGAAAGTGACTTCCCGGGCTGAATAGGTTAATTCCTTAAATTATGCCATTTCTCATCTTCAAGTCTAACATCTCAGCAAAGAAGGACTGAGGGCTAGAAACGCACCTAATTCTTTGCTTGGTGCTGTAGGGAAGATGGAAAACAAATACACAATATACTTTCTGCACACTCAGGCCTGGAAAACAGGACAAAATCTGCAGCCCCTTCCTCTGAGCTTCGCTCTTAGAGATGGTTTTCATTCTGTGCAGCAGCTAATGGTAGTTTTGACCTTCGCCTCCCCCTTGAATTTAAGTACACTGGGGGCATTTATTATACTGTATAGATGCTGACTGATTTCATGTTTCTATGTGGCCCTTCCTATCATATCCTGCTATAAATGCCATGATTTGGCCTTCTTGGAATGCCCTTGATAAATTATATGAACTTGCTGTCCCACTGCCTTTCACAGTTTATAAATTACAGTGGAGGAAACGCTGTTACTGTGGTAAAGTGGTGCTGACCCACACTCGCTCAGCCTGATGTCAAGCCATCAGCTCTGCTCCAGAGTTTATAAACGTGTTTTGACACACAGGACTGCCCACCTCCACAGTGCAGAGAGAACATGGACTCCTCCTCATCACTTGGGCACAACAAAGAAGGGGTAAGTCTCCTTGGTAATCTGGAAGGAAATGCTGTTACAGGACATCAATGTACAATTAGTGATGGCTTTAGAACTGCAGATCCGAGGGGGAGGCTGCCCCTGGAATATACAGAGGTGTGGTCCAGCCAGTGTCTGACAAGGATGGGGATGGTGGATATACCTGAAAGTAGCTCTGCACAGCGAACACCCTCTGAAAAGCATCCCTGAACTTTAAAAAAAAAAAAAAAAAACTGCTCTGTTCCCTTTTCCGCACACATTTCCTTCATCACAGCTGTATAAAAGTGCCTGTGATTCAAATGCTCTCAAATGCCAACCCAAAGCCTCCGCCATCCAGGCAGCTGCAAGGGTACCCATAATGAAGGACAGTCTTCCCCATACTGACTGACCTCACCCCTCCTTTTTATGTTTGATGCCTCTCATCTCCTCTATAGTCTTCTGTTAGACATTCTGAACCCTTTTGTACCAACATAGTAGATACAGGGGTCCTGGGGAAGGGGTAGCATGCATGTCCCCAGAGGCATCATCCAGCTAGACATGATTAAGACTGGGATGGCTAAGCACGAACCTACCGGCTACTGTGAGTGGCTCCCTGACACAGTGCTGGCCCAAGACCACACAGTGAGCTGGTGGCCGAGTCAGCCCTGATCACTACCCTGCGCTCCTCCCCCTGAGCTGCCTGCCTGGCCACTGCTTTAGGTTGCTTTTCTCCCAGTGGAAGTCTTGATCCTGCCCCGAATCTGTGAACTATAGCTTGAGGGCTAGAGGTATGCCTTATTTTTTCCCTGTTCTTTTCTCAATGATTAACAAAGGGCCAGGGATAAGGCCAGTGCTTCTTCATGAATCTCTGAGTTAAGTCAAGCAGATGAGATCCCCACTGGCTGATGAGATGAGCAGCTAGGACCTCAAAGGGGCAGAGGAGGACAGGCCATGGGCAGCAGGGGAAACAGGAGGCACCATGGGTTGAGAGCAGAGCCTGAGTGGCAATCTGAGCTCCAGTCCAGGCACTTTGGTCTTAGTCTTACCCCCCATCAGGTTTCACACTTACAAGGTGACAAACATGCACTCTTGCCTCCTTACAGGATACAGAAGCCCCATTCATGCAGCCCAGCACCTCACAAGGTAACCTAAGAGCACTTCCACGTGTCAAGTACTGTTCCCAACACTGTAGACACCAGCTCATTAACCCTCACACCAGTTCTGTGAGGAAGCTCCCCGTGTCACCCCACTCCACGTGCACTGGTCACGTGGCTTGCCTAGAATCACAAAGCAGCTAAGTGGCCAAGCCAAGACTTGAACCCAGACAGTCAGCCCGGCTTCCACACTGCTGACATGCTGCTGTGCCACCTGGCCCTAACTGAAGCTGTCTCTCATGAGGACACTGCCTGGGGGCAGGAGGACTCAGGCCCCAGCTGACCTACTGACGACGTCTTCCTCGGTGCCCTTGTCCAGCACACTGCTCAGGTTGTGCTCTGCCTGCGTCTCCTCAGGCACCTCCTCCAGCTCCTCTGCCTGCTTCACGGACAGGCGGTAGTTCTCCAGCTCGATCCTCTCAGGCGTGCCCCGCAGCCTCTTGGCGATGCTGGGCTCCTCCAGGCCATTCACACTCGAACCTGCAGAATGAGGAGAGATGCAACATTCTGATGACAACTGAGGGACGTGAAAATACAAGGACAACAGAGGGGGTGTGGTAGGGAGGAGGCATGGCAGAGGGAACGTCTTAGCCTCCAAGGCTGGCCACTCAGGTCAGAGGGGCAGACCGAAAGTCAAAGAGGTCACAGATCTGCTACAGGCCAGGAAAGGACACTGGCGTTGAGAATGGCAGCATTTCACTAAGGAGGGGAAACAAAAAGACCACGTGTCCACATGCCCTGCAGACAAGGTGAGTTCCTTCTCCTTTATCAACCTGAATGCTGGCTGAGTTGAGGAAGGGACAACCTACTCAGTGACAATGACCAGGTGGAGGTGAAGGGACCTGGGCTAGACCTTGAGGAAGCCCTTCTCAATGCCAAGTAACTAAGTGCCTCTGAAGCAGTTTTCACTGAGAAAAGTGAGTCTTTCCAATGGGCTCCACCCTGACAACCCAAGCTCTAGTCAAGGCTTGTACTCTGGGTCTGGCTGGCCCCACTGAGGTGTCCAGGCCAGCTGCTTTGCAGAATGCCTCACACTGTGGATCGGTTTCCTCATGGTCAGATACACAGTGGGCACTCTGTTTAACAAGAACACTGCAAAGGTGCTGCTGCACCCCTCCCTGGGCATCATGGCTCCGTGGGAGAAGAGTCAGGCTGGACAGCTTGGCTGGAGTGCTGCCCACCCTTCTCTCTGAGGTATAGACAGACGCATTCCCCCCTTGTAAACAATCAGCCAACTGTGGGGCGATGCTCAGAGACCACCTGTGACTGCAGGATCGTCAATGGCTAGTTAGCACACCGCAGTCATCAAAAAGGGTGATTCTAAATATTCTATCACTCCCACTCCACCATCATTCTTTTGTAAAGAAAAACACTTTCCTTATTATTCTTCATATTTTCAAGTACCACTATAGACTCACCAATGCTTTTAAAACTTAAATATTGTACTTGACTTTATATCCCTTTAGTCTCCCTCTATCTAGAACAGTTCTCTCTCGTCATCATCATCATTCTCTTTTGATGTTCATTACCATCCCAGTTTTAGTCAGAGGAGGCCCACCACTTGTTCTTAGGTGTGTCTGCTATAACATGACACAGCACACAGGTATTCACAGAGCCAGACAGACCTGGGTCAGATGCTTGACTCAAGAGTGGCTGGCTGGAGATCTTGGAAAAATTACTTAACTCTTCAGAGCTCATTTCCTGCTCTATAACTGAGGACAACACCCACCCCACCAGGTCATTACTAACACTGAATGAAATTGTGCACATAAATACATGTAAGGGTGTGTGCATGCCCACTCTGTGCCCCACATGTGCCGGTTGCCTTCCTCTTCTGCTTAAACCTGGCACACAGGGAGTGCTCAACGAGCAATAGATCTGATATTCATTAATGTTTTCACCCCTGATTTGTGTGTATTCCTGCATAGGCGTGTTGCATCCATTTGCTCTGGACTGCGAACTAGTTTCTTGACAAAAAGGGGAGAGGGAGCAGTAGTCTCAAGGGTGCAGTCACGTAGTTTATGTTACTGGCCTTTCAAAAAGGCATAGGGTTGGTACAGCAGAGAAGTGGCAGAAACAATAGGGAGCAGGGCATGGTGGCCTGGGGTGGGTCACTGATTTCTGTGACACTACATGCTCTAAGAGGTAACACTGAATCTTGACATGCCATGTCAGACCTGACAGTTTTGGGTGATCTATCAGGCAAAGCCTAACTAAAGGAAAAGAGTGGAAATATTGATTTGGCGATTTTTGTGGCATGACAGGTATAGAAAACATTTTCTGAAGGCCTGGTACTTGCATTATGTATGATGTTTTGAATGTCTTTATAATGGCATTAGAAAGAACTTTTGATGAAATCAGGTAGTCACAGGATAAGTCTTCTTCTTTTTTTTTTTTTTTTGAGACGGAGCCTCAAGCTATCCCCCTGGGTAGAGTGCTATGGCCTCACAGCTCACAGCAACCTCCAACTCCTGGGCTCAAGCGAGTCTCCTGCCTCAGCCTCCCAAGTAGCTGGGACTACAGGTGCCCGCCACAGTGCTGGCCATTTTTTGGTTGCAGCTATCATTGTTGTTTGGCAGGCCCGGGCTGGGGATTCGAACCCGCCACCTTAGGTGTATGTGGCTGGCGCCTTAGCCAATTGAGCCACAGGCGCCAAGTCCACAGGATAAGTCTTAATGCATCTGCCAGAATTACCAGGATCTCCTACCAAATGGCAGTTTAAATTTACTAGAGAATCTTTCCTGAACAGCAAGATCTGGTGGCATATTCATTCACAAATTCAAGTAAATGTATAATGACAGGGTCTGAACACAAATCTTTTGAGTTCATCTGGGTCCTGTACACACACACACCCATCCTAATCCTTGCACCCTTAGGTATATTAGTCTAAATATCCCTGCACCATTTTTAATACTGCACTCAGGGAGCCACAAGCGTGATGTTGAACTAGGGTGTGTGAAGATTAGAAAACATTCGGACTACACGTAATGGCAGAAAGGGGGCAGAGAGCAAAGCTGGTGGATCTGCTCCAACCTTCTTCAAACCTCCCTTCACAGCCCCTGGCTGGGCCCCAACAACAAACTGTGCTAGTTCATCCTTTCCCAACAGCAGTATTCCCACCTCTCTTTCTCCTCACCAAACCCACAGTCCTGACATAACACGGATGGGAAGCTGAGGATACTCTGTCTAGAGTACCATTTGATTCTTTCCTTCTCACCATGCATTTTTGACCACTGTCCTTAAATAGGAAGCACATAAAAAGGGGAAATAAATGTGAAGCAACTACCCAAGTATAAGGCTTCTGGGAAATCCATAAATATGAAATAAAAACTGGTATTTCTTACTTGTTCATTCGTTTTTAAGAAAGAGTCTCACTTTGTCAACATGGGTAGAGTACAGTGGTAGCTGACTGAAACTTCAAACTCCTGGGTTCAACTGTTCCTTCTGCCTCAATCTTCCATGTATCTGGGACTACAGACAGCTAATTTTTTTTCTGTTTTTAGTAGAGATGGGGTCTTGCTGTTGCTCAGGCTGATCGTGAACTCCTGAGCTCAAGCAATCCTCCCACCTTGGCCTCTCAGGTTCTAGGATCCAAGTGTGAGCCATTTTGCCAAGCCTGATATTTCTTTTAGATAAGAGAAGAAAAACAGAGGAAGAACCGTCACTTCAAAGAAAACAAAAAACATTCATCAATTCGGATCCAAGCAATTTCAAGATAGAACAAACATGCTCATGTAGAAAAACACTCAAAAAGCACTGTTTTATGTGGGCAATGCGTACTGTTTGTCAGGAATTCACCAGAACTTCAGAAAACAAAGCAGATTAAAACACTCTCCGTGGTCTCAAAAAGCTATAGACGAGCACACAGGACCGACAGTCCTGTAGGAACCAATTCAGTGGTACTATGGGAATACACAAAAGGACAATTTGGCTGAGCCCAACGACTCAAAACTGACATGTTCTGGAGAAATCGAGTTAGCCAACTTAAAAAAAAACAATTCTGTGAGGCAGGTACTATCATTTTATAAATGAAATAACTGCAGTTCAGAGACATTAAGTAAGCTGCCCAAAGTTACACGGCTAGTGAGCAGCAGAGCCAAGATTTGAATCTGAGGAGGAAAGCAATAATTCAGGAGACTACTATGCTGTCCCTAGGCTTACAAAGAGAAGGTGCATTTCCATAAACAGCCTTCTTCTGATTTCCCTTTTGAGAGTCAAGTCTTCACTATAATCTCCTCCCCACTGTAATTTTCACGAGGAAGGACAGAGCATTTCATGAAAGTTTCTTGGAGCAGAGAATCTGGCGTCTAGAACAACAGACAGTCTGTCCTCCTCCCAGTGTTATTTCTCTAGAGATTTTATAAGCTCTGCAGACTAATGGGTCATCAAGCTACAGAACTTGGCCGTCCAAGCCCAGAGCCTGGGGCTTTGGGGAGGGAAAATGTTGATTTAATTCTGGTCTTGGCTATAATCAACAAAAAAAGAAACCAGAAGCCGCTCAGAGCTATTCTGATCTTTCACACATCATTCCCCAAGAGAAAGGATGCTCTGGATTGTGAAAACCTGAAGATGCATTTCACTGGAGATTTTGTAAAGACTAAGGTGGGAAGGACTAGAGTCTTCTCTACTGCTTCAGGCCCCACCAGGCCATGTCCACACAGAACTCACTCACCAGGGAATGAAGTGGCAGGCCATTGCCCAAGGGCTAGCTCCCCATGGAGGTCACTTTTTCCAACAGGAAGGTGGCAAAGTATACTCTCCTAGTACCCAATACTCAACAACTGCCAAAATATGCTTAACATTTCCAGCCCTTTACTTCAAAATGCTTTGGGAAATAAATAGATCATTGAAATCTGCACCCTTGATTCTCTGTCTTGAGCAAGGGGCTCTCTGTTAGATTAACCAGACAGTGCTGATAAACCAAGATAACAAGGAGGCCTGGGCACGGGCAGCAACACTGGGACTCTCCTCTTATTGCCTAAAGGAAGAGCCTAGGAGAGGACACAGCAGGAGAGCAAGTATAAAAATAGCCCCCAGACACTGGTTTGGAAATTCAAAGTCCAACCCACCAGGCCAAGCCAAGTTGGCTTAGACCCACCAGCCCCTCCACTTCACGTGATTTGGGGCAACTACAGGCAGCCAGGGACTTTCCAGCTGAAAGTTGGGATAAAAGATCTGAAACAATTTCCAAGGCTGATTCTCTACTAAGTCCGGGCAGGCAGCTCTCAGGTCACTGGGAGGCCAGTTACAGCTTCACACATACCAAAAGGAAACAAATCCCAGGACCTGGGCCCATCCTAAATAGGAAAAAGGCTCTGGGCCTGACCTAAGGTTTTGTTTTGGAATAGTCACTGACTGCATGAGCTCCATGTATCATCCTGAAAGAAATATTTTTCTTAACAGGACAAGCTACGCTCAGCTGATGCGGAAGAGCTGCCAAAAGGCTTTACTCATAGCTGTCCGATTCCTGGAGAGACACG